AGGTATCAGCGAAGCCAAAGCGGTTTAAGGGTTTAGGGTTTAGGGTTTTGGGTTTAGGGTTGAGACAGAGGGCCTCGATAAAGCTGCTGGAAACTTTGCTGAAGATGCTGGTTTCCCCGACCTTTGCTTGAGGGAAGAACCGGCTCACGAGGAGGATGGCTTGCAAGCGGTTTGGGGGTTTAGGGTTTAGGATTTAGGGTATGACCCAGAGACTCCAATATCCCTCAATTAAGGAATATTCCTTAAATTATAGTAGGATCCCTAATATGATTTAAGGACTATTCCTTTAATTAAGGGATATTAGAGTCTCTGGGGACTCAATGACTGACGATCTTCTAGCTAGCGAGTTCTCAAAAGGTATGTATGCCCGTAATGACCACGGCGTCCGCCTCCTCCAGCTCCTCCTGCTGCTCCTCCTCCTCCTATTACTATTACTGCTACTGCTGCTACTACTACTTCTTCTTCTACTACTCCTACTCCTACTCCTACTCCTACTCCTACTCCTACTCCTACTCCTACTCCTACTCCTACTACTACGATTACGACTACTACTACTACTACTACTACTACTACTACTACTACTACTACTACTACTACTACTACTACTGCATACCAAGGCCACCCAGACCCAGGCTCCTCTCTGAGCCTAAAATCTTCAACCCTCCCTTCCAGCCAGCGAGGCCCTGAACTAGGCTGATGATATAAATCCAGCATTACCCATAATAAGGAATATACCATAATTCCCATAGTTTAGGGTCCTTAAGGTAATGCAGAATTTCTATCATCAACCGTATACCATAATTCCCATAGTTTAGGGTCCTTAAGGTAATGCAGAATTTTTATCATCAACCGTAAACTCAAGGGTTCAAGGTTTAGGGTTTAGGCCCTGTACCCTCAACCCGAACACCAAATCCGCAGACCCTGTACCGAAGAAACCAAACAACCCTATTCAAACCCTATCAAGCCCGTACACACTCTCACAAAACCGCTAGACAACCCCGTAAACAAACCCGGTACAGCCCTTACAAACCCTACAAAACCCGTGTGAACCCGTGCAGAACCCTCAGCCCTGAACGCCCAAAACCCGAAGCCTAACCTTTTCCACGGGCTTTACGCCTGCACGGCACCTGCAAGCTGGGTGCACGGCCAGATGGAGTAAGGAGATGCTCGGTGGCCTTTGGTGTTACAAGGGGTTATAGGAGCTTCGGGTTTAAGGTTTAGGGGGTCAGTATGGTCAAATATCTGCGTCGATATGTCTTTTGTATGACTGTACAGGGGGGCTTTCCAAGGAGCTTACATGGTTGTGAAGGTGGTTTGTAGGGTTTCGTGGCAATAAGAAGCTGTATATAGCCTTTTGTATAAGTCCCACTAGCATCACGTCCCGACTATTCTGTCGTGTTGTTGCCGTCCAAGTCCAAGCTATGACATAATAGGACCTGGATGTCGGACTCGAAACACCAAACAGCAGACCTTAGTTCAAACATCAGGCGTGAGATCTGCACTGGCTGCTTAAAGCTTCGGCTTTAGATCTGCACCTCGGACAGAAGCCAGAACAAGAACCTCATACTCAAACCCCTACACCAAAACTATTTGACTGTAAACTCTCGACGATGAAGGCTCATCACCGGGTGGCCTTCAGTAGTCAAGGCACGGATCTGCGCCTAGGAATCCTACGCCAGAGACCAGGCTCTCCCAAAGAAAATCTCAAGACCCCAGCCGCAGCGCTCTAAACACCCAAAGGCCCGCCTAAGACTGCTTGAAAACCCCTTTAGGGCTCTTGGGGTTCACGGTTTGGGGTTTGCGGTGAACCACCATATATGAACCCCAAAAGCCGCATGCAGAGAAAAGGCTGGCTAAGAGATGAGATCCGCACACGGGCTGCGATGCAAAGGGTGGCGGCCTGCCATTTCAGTAAAACGGGTTTAGGGGTCAGGGTAGTTTAGGGTCTAGCGTAGTTTGGCTAGGTCGTCTTACGGCCAGTGCTGTCACTGCAACCCTAAACCCCAAACATCCCCAAACCCTTAATCCAGAAACTATTTCCAGGGGATGCCGGTCCATCCATGGCCTCTTGTCGTAGTACCGCTGCAACGCATCAGCCAAGTCCTGCCGTCACTGTTCGGAGGGACCCTCAACCCCTAAAACCCGAACGCTTGAAAATGCCGAAAAGAAGCGAAAAAACAGAAGCCGAGCTTGGATCTAGGGATATACACAACAAAGCAAGGGGTTCAGTTTGTAAGTAAGGGGGGATGGGTTTGGGAAAGCTTCCATGCGATGCAAAGCCCTCCTCGTACCTGTTGCGCAAACCGAAGTACTGCGCCACAACTCCGCGAACCAACAATGCAAACTCTCTAGACTCTAAACCGGAAACCCTTATAGAAACCTTTTGTCTAAAAGAACTTCTAAAAACCTGCCTCCCTTACTAGTCCACAGCCTTCTGCTGTATCTCCATGATCATGGCAAACGGTGCTGCCACCTGTGCACCGTTGCTGGTCACGGCTTCGACTTTCGCTCTGCATGCTCTTGAGGTTTCGAGTCAACTTGTCTATTTCTGAACACCACAACAACAGCGACAATGACGACGACACTGCCGACGACGACAACCACCACCCTCCACTACCACCACCACAACAGCAACAGAAGAAGCACCAGCCGCAACTGGAACGGTTGCAATCGCAATAGCTTCATGTCGCCGGAACAGCATGGACTACTTGGAAGGGCAGGGGACTTAGTAAGTAGGTTATAAGTAGAGTTATAAGTACCCTAAATGGAGTTACCCCAATTATAACCCTACTTATAACCTACTTACTAAGTCCCCTGCCCCTCCAAGTGAGGGTCTGTGCCAGGGATTCTGAGGTTTTTTTGAATTTACTTATGCCGGTGCCACAGTATATGAAGTGCAAAAGTTCAAAAGGGGCTTAGTGAGGGCTTTGGGGTTTGAAGTGCGATTTAGGGTTCAAGAGTTAGGGTTGTAGAGTTAGGGTGGGGCTTAATGTCTGGGGTCGGTAAGGGAATCGGCACCCGAAAGATGTGGCCAAAGCACCCCCTAGCTTCAAACCGTCTGGTTCGCCGTCCCAACTCTCAACCCTAAGTCCCATGATCCTCCAAGTAGTCTTTTGGTGTGTTTCTTCTCTCGCTCCTTCGGGTTTGTTGGGGGTCGAGATGTGCGTGAACTCAGAATCTACGGTGTGCGTTAGCAGCTTAGAGGTTAAAGGTGGAGCCGTTGGGGTCGCTTTAAGGTTGAGGGAAAAGGGCTTTGGGTTTTGGGCAACGGGTGTAGGGTTTTGGGTCTAGGGTTTAGGGCTTAGGGTATTTTGAGTTTAGGGCTTAGGGTTTAGTCAGCACTCCGTTGATCCAATGTCTCTCCGAGACTCTATGATTAGTCTGTTTGTAACCGTTTCTCAGATACCCTTGCAACAAGTTCTTCTAAGTCTTCGCAAGTGGGAGAAATCAATCAACCATTCCAACTCAACAGCGTGCACATTCCCCCCTTCTTCCTATCATCCCCAACCCCTCCGCCAGCGGAACTCTTGCACTCACCCGTGCCATGCCAGAAACCTGAAATCTATTAAGGCTGAATCAGGAGACCGGAACCACAGAAAATGCTCCAAATCCGACTTGAGACCATCAAAAGCTGACCCTGGCAAGAACTGTAAGTTCCGCACCCGCACGACCGCGCCGGGAAAGCGAGAAAGACCGAACTGAGCGTTTGCGAGTGTAGAGCATTTTCAAAGAACGATGCACGGTCTTAAAGGTCATTTGAAAAGGATTGCTTGGCATAGTGTACGAAGGATGCATTTAAAAACAAAGCGTCGCAAATAACTTCGCAATTAATCGAGGCTTCCAAATACAATGCTTTGGACCTACTTGGAAGGGCAGGGGACTTAGTAAGTAGGTTATAAGGAGAGTTATAAGTACCCTAAATGGAGTTACCCCAATTAAAACCCTACCTATAACCTACTTACTAAGTCCCCTGCCCCTTCAAGTAGGAACTTAAGGCTCAGGGTGTAAGGCGGGGCCGACGCTCTCGAGCTGAACGGTTGATGGTATAAATCCTGCGTGACCTTAAGGACCCTAAACTATGGGAATTATGGTATATTCCTTACTAGGGGTAATGCAGGATTTACATCATCAACCGAAGCATTAGGTTGAGGTCGCATCGCCAAGCTGTGCTTGTCAAGCTTCAGAAGTTGCGAAAGCAAAACCCGTGGGGTTTGGCTTATTTCAGCCTCGATAGCGCGTTTCCTAGAGAAGCGAACCATGCCAGAGCTGGGAAGAAACTGAGGGAAGGGTTGAAACTGCCAGACGCTTAGTGGCTAACTGCTAACATCGATATGGGTGGTTGTCAAAAATTGTGGTCCCTTTTTGGGTCCCTATTATAGTACGGCACTTAATATTTAGGGTACCCAAAAAAGGGACCCTAATTTTGACAACCACCCATATACATGTGCATGTATGTGTGCGTGTGTATATACTAATGAACTTACCTGTTTGTTCGGTCCTTGTGCTTCCTTTTTGAAATTAATATTGATACTGACACTGACACTGATATTGGTATTGATACTGGTACTGGTACCGATAATGATACTGCCATTCATAGTCACTCACATTCATGTTCTTACGCGTACTAATGCTCATAATATATTTGCGATCATGAAACACAAATTATGACATATGCGTATAGATCCACCAATCCATCCATACATACATCCATCCACACATACCTAATATGCACGCAACCAGAAATTGGTTTTAAGCTACCTGCATGGATCAGAACCTATCATCAACAGGAAGGCTGAGACGCTGTGGAGGACAGGGCCGGGTGATGGAAACCAGCTTACCTTGTGCTCGTACCTTACTTCGCTCCTTTTTTGCCTTGACGCACTGGTTTGAATACCTTGCCAATTTTTTTCCAAGTTTAATGCATGTTTTCAGAGAAAGTGCGCGGGAAGCGACGGCAGCAGTAGATGTAAGAGGCCTACCGATGGACTGATGCTTAATTTTTAGTCCGTGTACTGACCGATCAGACCTGCTTCCTTGATTAGCACACTCGGAAAACAAAGGATCTGGAGTGTGGGCTTTGGGTGCTTGGTCTACTTTTCATGGCTCCGAGCCTGGGTTTAGAGTTGAGGCTGATGGGTTTGGGGTTTCGAGTTTACAATTATTTGGGGTGACTGCTTCGGGTTTCGCAGCCCCGTAAGCCCAAGGCAACGGTCGAGCCCACCGTGAAGACGGAGCCCGAAGACACCTCCACTGGTTGAAGGACATCCTCTCACTTCCTAAAGAAGTCACAGCGTGAGTCGAAAATTAAGGGTTAATGAGGCCCCCCCTAAAGGGGCCTAAACCCTAGTGGCCGGGGCGGGTATACGAGCAACGCATACGCACGGCCTCGCATGAGACCTCTTCGCGCAACCAAAGAAAGGCGCGCCCGAGCGCCTCGTCGAAGATGCGGCTGTGGCAGTCCTCGACACCTCGGCATCAAGGTCAAAATTTGGGTTCTGGAGTTCAAGAGCCTCATTTACAGGTTTCGGTAATGATCACGAGGAGTACCGTGCTAGCAGCTCAACATCACCAGGAGCAGCAGCAGGGATACCATTCATGAATCATCATCATCCTCGTCAGCACCACCTCCATTATCAGCAGCCCGAAGCCCGACTTTTATGACACCCAAAATGTACACGCACCAACAGTCAAGAAAGGCGACATATACACTCAGCACATAGCCCAATAAAACAAGCCATTGCGGGGTTTTGCGCTTGTCTAAGTGCCTTGCAGCAGGTGCCGTGCTCCAGCACGTACAAAGAGTCGTTGGCCCTGGCTGACACACGCTGTCATCAAGCTATCTCTTATGCATTTTCGTCAACAAGATGCCGAAAGCCGCGCCCTTCTGTGGCCACGGGTCAGCACCCAAAATCCTAAACTGTAAACCTCCTACACTGAAGGATCAAATATAGCTGATACGTACCTCCCGAAACCCAGATCCCCAAACACCGCAGCACCCGAATGGGGTGGCCGACATAAAAACAAAAGGGCTTTGCGGTGTATACAGCATAAGATATGCGACTCCAAGGGGAAACAACGATTCCCCAGACCTATTTTAGCCAGCCCTTTGAGGCCTTGTACCATCAGCCACGATCTCGCCGACGGAGCAGACGTAACGCTTCCCGTGAGCCGCCACCTCGACTTGTAAAGGTTGCGGAATCCTTGAGAGGGGGCAGGGTCGAACGCCCCACGGTTCTCATCAGGGTTATTAATGCACCCTACCAAACCTCCCTAACAACCCGCGGGGTCCTCTTTCTTGAAACTCTCCTCCGTGCCGGCGAAGACATCGAGGCTCTCGATCACCTCCCATGCGATCAGAAGCCCTGTTTCGGATCCTTATGGAACCGTTATAGAACCCTCACTGACATTGTGTAAGACCCTTTCCGAACCCAGAGCTCTTGGCAACCCCCTGGCAGCCTCGGATCTCATGGGCAGCCGCATCTGCAGGTTGTTTCCCACCTGCGTGATAGGGCTGCCTAGGTTCCTCTTAAGGGCTCCCTTTGGAAGGAACCCTCTCTGGTTTTTCTGAAGGCTCCTCTAAAGGTTTCCCATAACGGCTCAAGAAGTTATCTCGCGCTTCGGGGGTTCATGCTTTCAAGGCTCTTTCGCTGGGGTGGTGTCTAAAGCGCAAACTCTGGTTTGGGGCTTGAGGCGGGGCCACAGTTTAGCCTTTGGGGCTCAACGTCCAGGGTCTAGCCCAAAACCCTAAACCCTAAACCCTAAACCCTAGTTAGAGGCTTTGGGATAGGATCGTTACCCTAAACCCTAAACCCTAAACCCTAGTTAGAGGCTTTGGGATAGGATCGAAGCCCAAAGTTATGAACCCCTCGAAGCCCAAAGTTATGAGCCCCCCGATCCCAAGTAAAGGATGCTTGGGGCTGTGCAACACTGTCAACAATTACATCCAAGACCACCGGAAAAAATCTAGAAAGTAGATCCCCTAATTTGGGGCCCTATACTACTAAGGGTAGCCCCCATTAAGGGATCTACTTTTTGGATCCGGATACCCAGGAAGGCAGGGCACCTTGTTCAGGGGTCTTGCTTTCTACCGAGATTGCTGCTCTCTAGAGGACAGTGCTCCCAAGCTTTCGGTTAGGCATGGGCCCAAGCGAATCACCCCGAACCCTGAAAATCCCATCTAAAATCCCTCAGCCCCTAAGGAAAACCCTGCTGCCCCTCCTTCACTCGCGCTAAGTCCCATGATCCTCAAACCCGGAGGGAACCGCATACTTTATGAAACCGGTTCAAGGGTTCGGGCTTAGGGTTCATTGTTTCGGGTGGGCTTCTAAATACCGCCATCATGACCGTGCCCTCTTAAACCGAGTATAAACCATGTGTAAAACATCTTATGGATGAAACCCTTTGAAACTCTTATGAAACCCCTCGCGGACACCTTAAAACTTTTTAATTTAGAAGAAATCTAAACGCCCGAAAACCGTCGTAAAAGCCTCATAAAGAACCCTTGTCACCCACAACCAAAACACTTACAAGCCACAACAGGCAATGATAGAAATGCTAAAAGAAGGAATATTCCTTGAGTCATATCAGGGATCCTACTAAAATTTAAGGTACATTCCTTGATTAAGGGATGTTTGGAGTCCCCTAAGCCGTAAACCCTATAGATCCTTTATAGATCCCTTTAAGGAACCCTTAAAGCATATTCCTGACTTAAGGGATATTGGAGTCTCTGGGAAGCTTCAGAGGGGACCTCATTCCTAAACCCTAAATCCCAAACCCTAAAACCCTGAACCCAAAACCCTAAACTCGAAATGCTAAACCCTGAACCCTCTTTGCAAAGAGGACCTCTTTGAGCCGGTGAGCGATGCCGGCCAGAGCGCCGGGATATCTTCCCGCCACGAAGAGCACAGCGGCGGCCGGGATGCGGAGGATCTGCGGGGAGCTTAGAGAGCTACTTGGGGTTGGGGTCTACCTTAACCTACCAAACCCTCCTTTTTTGTAGGGTCCCTATAAACTTCATATTAAGGCTCAGAATAAGAACCTAGAAAAAGGTAGGGTTTGGTAGGTTAAGGTAGGGTTTGAGGTTTGGGGCTTTTCGGGTTGAGGGTTCAGGGTCTCAAGGGGCTATACGGAGCTCCTTTAAGGTGTTTTGTACGGTTGTACAGGGCCTTTTACATTGAAGGCTTTAGAGGATTTGATGGCGTCTCGGAGGGCTACTTGGGGTTAGGGGTAAGGGTTTAGGGTTTAGGGGTTTAGGTCTTAGGGTTTAGGGTTCCTATTGGGCTGTTATGACGCTTCCGGTGACTTGGCTACTACGTTATATGTCATTGTAGGTCCATACCTAGGATAATCTGTCTCGAAAAACGTAACACCTCACATGGGTGGTTGTCAAAATTGTGGTCCCTTTTGGGGTCCCTATTATGATACGGCACCTATTATTTAGGGTACCCAAAAAGGGACGATAATTTTGACCACCACCCATATAATAGCCTACCGTCAACTCCCCTGATCCTCCAAGCAAGCACCATGAATCCCGAGCCTCTCGGAAAGACGACCCTTAAATCCCAACAGCATCTCAGCCTGAACTTTAGGGCTTAGGGGTTTAGGGTTTAGGGTTTAGGGGTTTAGGGTTTGGGGGTTTAGGGGTTAGGGTTTAGGGGTTTAGGTTTAGGGGTTAGGGTAAAACTACATATCACCAAAACAAAGACGCTCCAAACATACACTCCTCAACTCCCCGAGCATTGCCGCACCCCGCCGAAAACCCGAAACCCAACCCCGAAACCAGCCCCAACCCTTGAACCGTAAACCCCAAGCCCCAAAACCCCCAAATCTTGACCCCCAAACCCCCACAAGAGCCTTCGAAAAGGCTTCTCAGGATCCATATACAACCCTTCCGCAAGTACAGTGTCAGAATGGAGTTTTGGAGGAGTTCTGAGTAAGGAGTTCTGAGTAATAACGAGTTCGGTAACCCGAAGAATGCCAGCACTGATTTTGCAGACCCCTCAAACACCCTTGAACTTGTCTAAATCCCAAAGGCCGCGTAAATCGCATAACCTGCCGAAAACCACCCATACCCTGTAAAGCCCCGCAACAACCCTCTAAACCGACCCCAGCTCCAAAATCCTTCCCAAACCCTCGACCCTAACCCTTCAAATCCGTCTAAAGCTTTGAACCCTAATGTCGGGGCCTGTGTGATTACTAAAATGAGAGTAAGTTATTACCACCAAAATAGTACTGGCAGTTACTTAGGCCCCTAAAATTACACTTTAAGCCCCTCACAAAACCTTTCTCCAAGGGCCTCCGTGAAGGCCGTGGCCCGGACGCTGGCGGGCCGGGGCAGGGACGACCCGGCCTTGGTTTAGGGCTCAGGGTCTGGAGAGTAAGGTTTAAGCTTTAGGATTCAGGGTTTAGGGCTTTAGGGTTTAGTGTTTTAAAGTTTAGGGTTTTAAAGTTTAGGGTTTAGGGTTCAAGGTGTGGGGAGTACTTAGAGGTTCATGGGACTTAGTAACTAGGGCTATAGTTAAGGTAACTACACTTATATGTACTTATAATCACCATGAGGGTACTTAAAGCTGTACTTACTAAGTCCCATGAACCTCCAAGTGAGGAATTAAGGTCCCTCAATAATAGGTGCCGTATTATAATAGGGGCCCAAAAGGGCAAGGGACCATACTTTTGACAACCGCCCAGGTGTGGGGAGCAAGGTTTAGGGGTGTGGTTAAGAGGATGTCATGTTCAAGGATTTCGGGTTTAGCTTTTAGGTTTCATGGTCTCGGGCCTAGGGTTTAGGGTCTACTTGGGGGTAGGGATTAGGGTTTATGGGTTCAGGATTGCTATTAGCAGGGTTTTGGGTGCAGGAATTACGGTGGAAAAGTGATGCGAGCGTCAAGAAGGTTTTTGGGTTCACGAGAGCTTAGGGTTTAGGGTTTGGGGCTTTTGGCAACTACCCACCGATCTACCATGAATCACTGGTAAGTCTTTGCATTTTTCTCTCCAGCTTCACCGAAAGGAAAGTTTTCCGCGGAGCCCCACGGCCATTGGAATGACACGACTCATAATCCTGCGTATGGTTTGGAATGACACTTCTCATAACCCTGCTAAGGCCCAACAGCAAAGCCCGGTACACCGGAAGCTAAGTGCTGCGAGACATCTCCAAATTGCCAAAACCCTGAGCCAACTCTTGGCACTGTGCGCTTTTGAGAAAACATCGTGTAAATTTGCTGGGAGGCCCGCTAAGGATATGTCTCCAATGATGGCCGTCGCCCGGAGCTTGCCGATCACCACGGAGCTGCATGTTGATGCGGCTCGTGATTGTTGCAAACTTTGTGTGCCAGGTCATGGTCATCAAATATTAGCGGCAACAGCCGCATGGTAGGATAATGTTCATGACAGTAAAAACAACAGCAGCTGCAGCAGCGTCGTCAACCCGTCTCCATCAACTTTGTCACAATCCAATCCTGCTCATGACTACCATCGCAACCAACATCATGGCCACCAAAACGAAAATCACCACCACCATAACCATCACCGTCAGTCAGCCTCGGCATTGTTTTCGTCATAAAGAGGCACTTGCCTCTGTGACCCAAAGAAATGCCGGTCTTTGTAACAGTAAGAGGGGGCAAGGAAGTACAAGCAGTAGTGGGCATTACGTGTAATGCTTCAAGCAGCGACAGCGGTTCAAGCTGCATCATCAACAACATCACGAACAGAACCATCATCACTTGCAGCAGCAGCACCAGCAGTAGCAGGAGCATGAGCAGGAGCAACAGCAGCAGCAGCAGTAGCGACGGCGGCAAGAGCAGCAGCCACAGCCGCAGCAGTAGCGGCAGTGAGCGGCAGCTGCTGCTTCGAGCAGTGCTGGTCGCAGAAGTAAGGGGTGTTCCTGCTGCACTGCTGGGACGCGTCCTTCCACGAGCCATGCGACAGCTCACAGGGTCTATTCCCAGACAGCCTAACATCCCTGACCTGAGCAATATAGTTACTCCAAACCATAACCCTTCATTAAGGGGTAGTGGGCTCCCGGGGTCGTGGTTAGGCGACGTGGGCCATGTTGGGAAAAGAGCATGGAATCTCAACCTTCAACCCCGAAAGCCCCCAAGCTCTGATCCCAATCCTTGTGTGTCTATATAATAGGATCCTTAATATTAGGACCCCAAAACTTTTTTAGAATCCTTATTATAGATCCCCTTTAAGGAACCCTTTAAATATGAGCCCATAACTCTGGCTCTTCATCCTAAGCTCGATCATGTAGGAACCGGATGAACAAATGCAACCTACGCCAAAACCCGGACCCGAAACAAAAACCGCAGCTGTAGCATCCGACCTTGGTGATTTAAATTTTGGAGGTTCAGGTACTATGACTACATTTTATGTAAGGAAGCGGCAAAAATGGCATTCTACTTTCTACAACCCTATATGGGAGTTGCCGAAAACAGGGGCACCATATTTTGGTGTCCTTAGAATAAGGATTCCACTTTGCGGGGTACTAGATTAGGGTCCCTATTTTCGGAAACTCCCATATGCATGAAGGCCCCTAAGTTAAACAAACAACCTAAATCCCTAAGCCCTAAACCTCAGAGATCCCTTAAAGGAACCCTTACAGTACCCTTGAAAGGAACACAACCCCATAATACAAAACAACCCCAAAATTCGGTTCGTGCCTCGGGCGCCCTGTGCTAGCCACGCACTTTTCGACCTCGGCGATTCCATGCAAGGAGCCTGTCTGCATATGGGTGGTTGTCAAAACAGGGGACCCCAATATAGTACCCTATACAGTAGGATCCTTATTATAAGGACCCCAAAGGAAGGTACCCCTAATTCTCGGAAACTCCCATGTGCGGCTTAGGCCGGAGAACTTTTCGGACTTGGGGAGCGGAAGGGTTCTGCGCAGGGTTTCGGGTTCAGTTCAGGATGTTTTAGGGGCTTAGGGTTTAGGGTTTAGGATTTAGGGGTTTAGGGTTTAGGGTTTAGGGTTTAGGGTTTAGGGTTTAGGGGTTTAGGGTTTAGGGTTTAGGGTTTAGGGGCAGAGGGTCTAGACATTCAGGGCTTTCCTTGACCCTGGACCCCCTAGACACGAATCCGAAAGCCTAAACCCGAGGCAAAACGCGGAAACCTTAAACCCCTAAGCCCTGAACTCTCAAAGGGAACCCCAGTATAGAATCCTGCAGTACCCCAAAAGGCAACCCGATTATTAGAACCCTATAGTTCCCCTTATGGAGGTTCCTTTAAGTGGGCTTCCTTTAAAGATTCTGACAAGGGTTCCTTTAAAGGCTTCTTTACAGGCTCCTTTTGGGGTTCCTTTAAGGGCTCCTTTGAAGGCTTCGGCTCCTGTCAGGGTTTCCTTTGAAGGGAACCCTATTATAGAACCCCATAGTACACTTTAGAGGCTCCTTCAAAGGCAGCCATCCAAGGCCAGAGCAACGGCCATGCCCTCCTCGATGAGCACCAGATCCTCATCTTCCTCGCCTTCCTGGATGAAGACCTGGTTTAGGGGTTTAGGGTTAGGGGTTTAGGGTTTAAGGTTTAAGGGTTTAGGGGTTTAGAGGTTTAGAGGTTTTAGGGTTCAGGGGTTTAGGGTTTAGGGGTTTAGGGGTTAGGGTTTAGGGTGCAGGGCCGTGAGCCGGTTCAGAGGTTTAGATGCTCAGGGGTTTAGGGTTTAAGGGTTTAGTTACAAGTTTGAACGGTTTAGGGATTAAGGTTTAGGGGTCAAAGGTTCAGGGTCCGGTGCCGGGCTGGGGGTTAAAGGTTGAGGGGTTTTGTGGAATTATGGGGATAGGGGATTTGGTGTATGGGGTTTAGGGTATAGAGGTGGAGGTTTATAGGGTTTAAGGAGTAGGGGTTTTGGGTTCCAAGGTTTAGGTCGCCAAGAATTGTTAGGATCGCAGCAATAGCTGGCGGCAGTGGTATCGTCGTAGTGGTAGTGGTAGTGGCAATGGTCGTCGTCGTAGTACCCTACAACCTGAACACCTGAAGTTCCGAAACTGTTGGGCCTGGAATAAAGAGCTTGGAACCCGAAAGTCCCCATGCCTCTAATCGTACACCCCGGTCAAAACGGGTTTATGAGGTTGAAAACCTGTAAGTGAAAGCTCTTTGCGTGCTTGACAAGGCTCCTTCACATGAGGGGTACCTCATTTAGTAGTCCCTAGGGTGAGGATCCGAAGACTTAGTGTCTAAACTAGCGGGTGGCGGTAGTAGCTCTGTAGTACTGATACCAACATACACACAAAAACATGCCTAAACCCCGTGAACCCTGAACCCCTAGTGCACTCTTCTCGAGCAGCATACAGCCCTTCCTCATAACCTTCTCGAACGTGTTGCGCCCGTAATTTCCGAGGTACAGGAGACAAATAATTGCTCAATCATACCCCCGTAGAGTACGTATACAGCTCGCTACAGGCCCAAAGCAGCCCCAAACCCTTATTATGATTCTCGAGCCGCTAAAGTACACAAATCCCCCTAGACCCGAAATCCTACTCCCGAGACCCTAAACCCCGAACCCCTACATCCCATCCCTAAACCCTAAACCCCAAACCCCTACATCCCAACCCTAAACCCTGAACGCTAAACCCCGTACGAAGAGGGCCTCCCCCGATTCAACATCGCGCTGCTCGGCTTGCTCGGCAAGCGCCCAGACCTAAGCTTAAGGGTCTGGGCTTTGACAGGCTTTAGGGGTTTAGGGTTTAGGGTTTTAGGGTTTACGGTTTTAGGGTTCAGGGTTTTAGGGTTTTAGGATTTAGGGTTTTAGGGTTTAGGGTTTAGGGTGTTAGGGTTTAGGGTTGAGGGTTTAGGGGTTTTAGGGTTTCCGGTTTAGGGTTTAGGGTGTAGGGTTTAGGGTTTAGGGTTTAGGGTTGAGGATGGTTTAAGATTGGAGAAGGGTTTGGGTGGCAATATTGGGCTGGGCTGGGGCTGGGGGGTGGGGTCTGCGGCTGGGATTGAAAATGGTTCAACGTAAACAATGACAAACAACTTCTATTTGTGTCTTTCTTGAGGGTGTAAGGTTTAGCGTTTAGGCTCTAGGGTTTACGGTTTGGAGTTTGGGCTTCAGGATTTATGGTTTCGGGCTTCAGGGTTTAGGGTTTCGGGCTTAGAGTTTAGATGGGTGTTGATCGGGCCGTTTCAGCCTCAAAGGCGATTTTTTGCTTTGAAGTTTGTCGCGGCTGTTCGGCCTCAGGGCTGCAGGACTGGAGTTTGAGATGTCTTCGACACCTTGGCTTGGAGCTCGGTTATAAAGGTTTAAAGCATCTGCTGCTGATTGTGGCCGTTGTGGAGTTCAGGCCAGAGGGCTTTCAGGACTTGCAAGCTTTAAGGCTTCAGCCTGGGTTTGGGTTCAGGGTTTAGGGATTATTGTCTGATGAGTGCTCAACTACCATCGCAGAGGCTAATTAGGCTCAACGCAAACGTTCTTCCGAGCTCGCTGCGACCTCAGGTGGCACGCCGGGCAGCGCGCTGCAGCAGCGCGTTATCAGCGCCCGCCAACGGTCAGCCAGGCACTGAAGGGCATTCTTGGTGCATTCTTGGTAGGGTTTCAGGGTGTGCGGCACAGCATCTAGAAGTCTTCTCATACGGCTCCGAAGCCCTACAAACTAAGACGGCCATGGTAGAGTTCAGGGTTTAGGGCTAAGGCTTGTTGCTTCGTAGCTTAGGAGTTGGAGGCGGAGCCCTACACTTGGCGACAGGGGAGGTTCGATCTGAGGGTGTGGGGAAGCATAAGAACTTGAACGCTCCTTTCAGACTCGGGTTTCTGTTTTTGTGCAAGAATCGGGTTTAGGGTTTAGGGTGCCTCTCTATGACTCTATGACTCTATGAGATCCAGGGCTGGGAGAACAGACTCCAACGCCGACACGTACAACAAGGAAAGGCCACTTGGGCAGGGGAGTTAGTAAGTAGGTTATACGTAGGGTTATAATTGGGGTATCTCCATTAAGGGTACTTATAACTCTACTTATAACCTACTTACTAAGTCCCCTGCCCTTCCAAGTACACGGCCCTAGAATAGCGCGATGTCCCTCGAATCATCGGCGGCCAGGGTACAAGGTCTACCGCCACGCAGCTTGTTACTGGCTTTGTAGAGTTTTGGGATAAACCTTCATACCCAGAGACTCCAAGATCCCTTCATTGGGGAATATTCCTTAAATCATATTAGGGATCCGATTATAATTGAAGGTATATTCATTAGTTAAGGAATATTCGGGCCTCTGGGTATGCCAGCATGGGTTCTGACCTCGCACCACTGAAGGCGAGTTCCTGTCGATTCGTTTATGCATGATAGCGAAATGCTGCGCCGCAAAGCCCAAGCCCAAAACCCGACGCTCATAACAAGGCCTGAACCCTCCAAAACCGGCGTCCTACATCTCGGATCCTTGGCAGTATGAAGACCAGAACAAGGTCATATAGGGGCCGCAATAGTTAGAATAGGGTTCTGCGATACACTGCGATGAAGATAAGGTACCCTGGAGAAGTGTCTTCCTCTTTGGTCAGGCTTCTACACAAGACCTAAACCACTCATCCTGAGCTACGGTTGTAACGACCCGCAAGAAAGGACTTCCAAGTTCCAAAAATCCTACTACCCCAAAACCCGAAATTCAAGCCCCTAAACCGTCAACGCTTAAACAACGCTAAGACAAAATCGGGAGGGCCTGGGCGTGCTCCTTGAAGACAGACAATGCGGATCTCAGCCTTGTCAGGTGTGGGCTTTGAGGTTTTGCAGTTTTAGGGTGTAGAAATGTGTAGGGTTTACGGTTTAGGGTTTATGGGTAGTTTAGGGATGATGGAAAAGGAGGTTAGAGTTTAGGATTTACCCAGGAAGGCCACTAACCTCTTAATTGAAGAAAAACGCTTCTTGTAAGATTGCAGCGTTTTCGTAGAGTGTAGATTACAGGGTGCATAGGTCTTAAACAGTTAGATTCAGCCCCCTAGAATTCTTAGCGACTTAGCTTCGGATGGCCCTTTGGGAGTTTCCGAAAATAGGGGACCCTAATATGGTACCCTAAATAGTAGGACCTAGTAGGATCCTTCTTAAAAGGACCCCAAAATAACGTAACCCTAATTTCGGAAATTCCCATGTGGGGGTTCGGGATTCGGACAGGAAGTCTGCAGCGCTTGTGCGGCCAGTTGCCAGAAACACTACATTGAAAGGGAAACCCAAAATAATAAACTCTGACTTAAGCTACAAACCCTACACTCTAGTGCAACCCCGAGCACCCGAATTCAACAATTCCGGGCTGAAGTGTTGGACGGCATAGGCCCACACTTCTGCCCTCATTCCCCTGCACTCCTGCTTAACAGCCCGCATGCAATACCAAGCAAAAGCCTGAACCCTATAAACCCTAAACACTGAACCCTGAACCTTCGCTTTGGGTGCTGACGTCTTGGCACGCGGGTCGTCTCTTCCCAGGCAGAGACCAACCTGAATGCGGCTGGGGGTTTCCGAAAATTAGGGTACCTTATTTTGGGGTCTTTATAATAAGGATCCTACTATTTACGGTACCATATTAGGCTCCCCTATTTTCGGAAACTCCCATCTAGGGTTTACGGGTTAGGGCCATGGGAATTAACAACTGCAATCATCAACAAGTCATAATGCAAGAGCTTAACCCTAAACCCTAAACCCTAAACCCTAAACCCTAAATTAGTGTCTAGGGTCGAGAGCTGAGGGCTTCAGGCTTTGAAGAACGGATCTCTTAAAGGGTGTAGGGCTTTGGGTTCAGGGGCTTTGGCGGTTTAGGGTTGAGGGGTTTAGGGTTTAGGGTTCGGGGCTTGAGGTATGAAGACGGGAGTTGCAGCAGCCGCGGCCTTCTCGACGAGCTCCATCGACAAGACCTCAGGCTGTGAAATGTAGGGTATATGTATGTATGTATGTATGCATGTATGTATGTATGTATGTATGTGGGTAGCTGAAAGGGATCGATCCGGGTTTCTGTAGGGTTGCCATAAGGCTACTATAAGAAAACGGTACCCTAGTTTAGAGAACTACCCATGTACCTGCATGCGTGTGTGTGCAAATAATATTCAGAGTACACCGTCATGCCTGGACGGCTGATCTTACGACGGCTACCGACTTAGTTTATGTATTTCTCAGCTAACTACTATTGCTGAACACTGCCTCTGCTTCTGTGACTATTGAACTGACACTGTTGCTGCTATGCATACCTAATACCTAGTATGCCTACAGCTTCCGCTGCTGCTGTGTGCAGCACTCCTCTTGCTACTATGACTTCTTCTTTCACCGCAAGCATCAAACCCCGAAAGCCTAAACCCAAACCCCCAAAACTCCGGAACCCCAGCTCCCCGAGAGCCAAAAACCCGTAAGCCCCTAAACCCCGAAGAGGTACTTGGAAGGGCAGGGGACTTAGTAAGTAGGTTATAAGTAGAGTTATACGTACCCTGAATGGAGCTACCCCAATTGTAACCCTACTTATAACCTACTTACTAAGTCCCCTGCCCTTCCAAGTAGACCCTAAACCCTAAACCCCATAGACCCCTTTTAAGGAACCCTATAGATCCCTTTAAGGAGCCCTTTAAGGAGCCCTTCCAAGTACACGAAACCCGAAAGGAGTTGATTCCCATGTCGGCTCGGGACCAACTCCCGGTCTTTTGAGCTTCACGTTCTTTCGCTATCTTCTCGCTCGACCCAGATGGGTGGTTGTCAAAATTATGGTCCCTTTTTGGGTCCCTAATATAGTAAGGCACCTAATATTTAGGGTACCCAAAAAAGGGGCCATAATTTTGACAACTGCCCAGATATTGACCTAAACTCTGCCCTTGATTCGCCTTCAACCCGAAACCCCAAACCCTAAACCCTAAACCCTAAACCCTAAACCCTAAACCCAAAACCCTAAACCCTAAACCCTAAACCTTCAACCCTAAACCTTCAACCCGAAACCCCGAGGTCTGGACCTCAACTGAGGCTCCCACGACCAACCGAGCGCCGCCCCCCGGGTGTTGTTCCGCATCTTGGGTTGGGTTTTAAGGGGTTCGGTGTTCAAGGTTTGGGGTGTAGGGTCTTGGGTTCAGAGATCAGGGTTTCGGGTTCATGGTTTTCGGTTCAGTATGGTACGCCAGTATGGTCACAATCGGCTTGGGTCATCATAACCGCTATCAGTGCCATTATGCACAGTGCTCACCATCGCATTCAGGTTCTCCCGGCGACTGCTAGTAGTTCTGCTCGTACTAGTCCAGTGATATTGAAATAGCAACGGCAGCAGCAGTAGCGGTATCTGTAACGGAGTAGTAGTCCTCGTCGCCATAGTGGTGCTGGTAGTGGCAGTGGTAGTGGCGGGAATACTTGCAATGGCACTTGCAGCAGTACCAGAAGCAGGGGACGAGGAGGAGTTTGAGGAGTACTACTCCTCCTCCTACTGCTGCTTCCACTACCACTACGACTACGACTACCACTGCGACTACCACTACCACTACCACTACCACTACCACTACCATCACCACCACCGCCGACCACTGCTGCCCAAAAAATCGAGAACACTCAAACCCCTCGCCCTTGACCACCACCCTGACAAAACATGCACCACGCCCTCAAGAAACGAATGCCCAAATCTCGAAACCCCTGGCCACGTCTTGAACTTCCCTGTCGAGTATGCGGCCGTCCACGTTGCGCTCCTCCTGCACTGAGGCTTCGTCACTGGACATGAGGTCTGTTGCTTAGATGCTGTTCTCTTCAAGGGTTGAAACAGCCTTGAAAGATATTCATGAGAGCATAACAACGCTAGGGCCAGATCAAAACGCAACAATGCAAAGAACAGTTGATTTACTACAGCCGAGCCACGTTGCATGATCAGAACAACTAGAAGTCAAAAGCCCTTCTAAAAGAATCAGGAGCCTAGTATTCAGGGTCCATGTTCCCTTATTCTCTGAAAGGCGCAGCCGCAGACTCTCTTCTTCAACAACCGGGCCCCAAAGACTTCAAACTTTTTAAGATAGAGCTACTATATTACTATATAAGGCCGAAAAGTTTAAAGTTCCCCCGATCGCTATCTAAGCAGAAGGTGGGACGAAGGATCTTTAGAAAGGGGTCTTTGTCGGAATTCCACTATGTACCTTCATTCCACTTTTAGAGCTTCTCGATACCTACTGCGTGCTCAGGATTCAGGATGAAACTGTCGAAGACTTGCACTGAGGGCCAAACGGAGAGGTGTCTTCCTCTTCTTCCTACTGCTACCACTGCTGTTGCTGCTGCTGCTCCTGTGCACCCCTGCCGCCGTCACCACCACCACCGCCGCCAGCAGGAAAAATGCTGTTGGTTGTTACTGCTTGCACTCCTGCTACACATACTACGGTTGATGATATAAATCCTGCATTACCCATAATAAGGAATATACCATAATTCCCATGCTTCAGGTTCCTTAAGGTAATGCAGGAGTTATATCATCAACCGTAGTCCTAAGACTTCTGCTGCTTTCTACGACTGCTGGCACCTAAACTCTCAACCGACGCTCCTCTCCTTGGAAAGGGCCCTCGGAACAACCCCCACAGGCCTCTGGCAACTCCTTCGCCCCTGAGGACAGAGGCTGCGTTCTTGTTAAGATGCTCTCGTCGCCGTTGTGAGGAAGCCACGCTGTCTACTCTATGTGTGTATATATATAGATATGAAAATACATCGACAAACCAAACACATACATACACCCTTGATGGCTGCTTAAATTTGACTTTCGTAAGAAAGAGCCAGGGGGAGTTCCGGAAAAGTCCCTCTGCAGGTCGATCTTCTTCGAGCTCTCTGGGATTCTGCTCCAATTTCGGGCTCAGGTATCGAACGATTGGATTCTTGATCCAGGGTTTCGGTTCTGAAGCCTTCTGGCGTGAGGGTTTCCGGGTCAAGGCTTGTAGGGCAAAACACAAAGAATCGACAAACATGTAGGGGACCCTAATTATAGCACCCCAAATAGTAGGATCCTTATTATAAGGACCCCAAAATAAGGTACCCCTAATTTTCGGAAACTCTAAACCCTTATAGATCCCTTATTGCTCTCATCCTTGCGACTGTTGGCAGTTGCTTGCCGGGTCATAACGGTACAGGGTTTATTTTGCATCAGCAAATGCTTCTTGGGAGCTTATGGTTATCTGTAGGTGCAATTATTGTAATACAATATACTGTGAGATACTATACTATACGATAATATACTATCATGCATGTTCCGCTTTCTGCTGGGAATCAGTGCGGAGTTCGGTTCGGGGAGGTTCCAGGGTTTTTGTGCTTACCCAGACCCCGGGAGGATCTAGAATCTAGAAAGTAGATCCCTTAATTTGGGGCCCTATACTAAGGGTGCTTTATAGGAACCCCCATTAAGGGATCTACCCTAAACCCTAAACCCTAAAACCCTATAGATCCCTGAAAGGGACCCTTAAAGGAACCCCGAAAGGAACCCCCATTAAGGGATCTACTTTTTGGATCCTCCCGGGGCTCTGGGTATGGCAGGGAGCCGACATCAGTGATTCAGCCTGGTCCAGACAAAGCAAGCAGTATGGAAAACTTCGAGCGAAAGGCCTAGTCTAGACCCCTGAACCGTGATCCCATAGCCGAAAGCCATGATATCCGAAAACCGACATCCTGAAACCCTCGTGAAGGGAAATGTGAGTCTCAGGAAGTACGGCATCCCAATAGATGCCCTACACTGTCGCATCCTTCAATGCCCTAAACACTTTGAGAAAACACCTGAAGGTCCTGTAAACCATTATAGCCCTATAAGACTCGGCTAAATCTTCACGACAAGGCACTGGTAGTTTTGAAAGATGAGACGTACATAACCTGCAGAGTAAGTTACCCCTTAGTCTGAACAAACCTGCACGCCAAAGGCTGCTGCCTTGCGCACGCACGTGCAGCCATCCGTCCATCTTGTGGTGGCTCAGCGGTGTTGGATTCCTGGGTGGGATTCGAGGGTTTAAGAGGTCTGGGGTTTGCGGATTTAGGGGATGGTTTAGGATCTGGACTTCGAATATAGGGTTTAAATTTAGGTTTAGGTCACTGCTGGCAGCTTGTTCGAACATGTCGTCCCAGCGCAGAACCGGACGGCAAGTTATAGGTAGGGTTTAGGGTTTAGGGTGTAGGGTTTAGGTTATACGTAGCATAGCCCACATACCTGTGTTTATACCGTACTGACTACATGGGCAGATCCTCTCGGTACGGTGTTGTAATTCCACTTGAGCATAGCTCCTATTCTTGAACAGAGTAAACTGGTCACAGTCTCCTCCTGCCTAAGGCATTTCGGCTGTTAGACACTCACGGTCATGGGACAGTAGCGGGAAGAATATTGCCACCACAACAAATGCAGCGCACTGTGTGCAACTTCCACTCAAAGAACACCCCAAAATGCTGTCACGGGAGCACGATCCCTGTAAAGTTTGCCAGCAAAAAAAGTCTTGATTTCAAGGTGAATTGGGCATCCGTGGGGGACTCGGCCTGCAGAGGACCGCGGAACGCAAGTCGGAAGTGCGCACACACATGCCCATGGCTCACATGTGGCAAGTTCAGTCACGTTGCCCATTACTCCCAAACTTACGCATCTGAACCCAAGCCCACCCCAAACACTCAAGAACCCTAGCCTGAACTCTCACCAGGGAGTTTCCGAATATTAGGGGCACCTTTTTGGGGTGCTTATAGTACGGATCCTACTATTTAGGCTACTCTATTAGAGTCCCCTCTTTCCAGAAACTCCCACCAAGCCCCCGAAGAAGGGAACCCTGAAAGGAACCTCGAAGGGAACCCTCAAATCCTGAAGACAGGAACTCCTAGGATACCCAGTAACCTAATAAACCCTTATAGAGCCCTTGTAAAGGAACCCTTATAGTACCCTTATAGTAACCCTTTCAAAGGAACCCTAAGGGTACCTAGTCTAGGATACCCAGTAACCTAAGAATAAAAAGAGTACTAGGGTTCCTTTAAAGGGGTCCTTTAACAAGGGTACTATAAGGGATCTATAAGGGTACCAGAATATACTAGGATACCCAGTAACCTAAGAATAAAAAGGCCTCTCTTTTTGGTATTGGGTAACTTTATAAGGAACCTAGGACTGCAAAAAGGGAATACGGGTACTACTGGGCATCCTAGACTCTCTCTCAGCTCCGGACATCTTCAGGACGGCATTCGGACCTTTGAGTTGCTTGTTTCGGGTTGTGTATGGTTTGCGGTTCAAGGCTTAGGGCCCGGGGTTTAGGACTTAGGGCTTGCCGACTCGGGATTGGGTATCAGGGTTTAGGCCTTAGGGTTTCGATTTTTGTTTGCGGGCCCGTTTCCGGATTGGGTTTTAAGGTCTTGGGGGTTTGGGGCTCGGGTTTTGGACTTAGGGTTAAATTTGCCGCTCAGTACCATCCGCATATGCTGCGATATGCCTAAACTATGGAATCTACCTTAAATACCGTAGGATCCCTAATATGATTTAAGGAATATAGCAAATTACAGTAGGATCCCAAATTAAGGAATATACCCTAAATTACAGGCTCTCTGGCTTAAGGATTGAGCAGGACTGATGGCTTTCGGGTTAAGAGCTTCGGGCATCCTAGAGTTTGGGAGCTTAAAGCTTAAAGTCGAGGGTTCAGGGAAAGCTCTGCAAGTTTAGAGATTAGCCAACTCAGCATGATTCACCTCTTCATCTTCACGCTCTCCTCACTTTCCGACGAAAGCGGCTTGCAGTTGGTGCAATTACAATGCATTCCAGAAGCACCAAACCCAATACCCGTCAATTAGCAACTTAACCTGACATGGTACAGGGACTCATACTACTGTATTGAAGGCTCTGGGTGGCTAAGCTTCTCCGAATGATCATGAGCCTGGACCATGATGACAAACAGAACCTCGTCTAAAAGTTAGACCTTAAACCCTACCTTAACCTACCAAACCCTACCTTTTTGTAGGGTCCCTAGAAGCTTCATTTCAGGTTCATAATAAGAACCTACAAAACAGTAGGGTTTGGTAGGTCAAGGTAAAGCAAAAACCCTAGAAGCTAAGGTCGCCAGGCCCTGTAAGTCCCAAACATTTGCAAGAATCCTGAGCTTCCTGGCTACCCAAACCTCGGGGAGGATCCAAAAAGTAGATCCCTTAAGGGGGGTTCCTATAAAGTACCTTTGGTAGTATGGGGCCCCAAATTAGGGGATCTACTTTCTAGATCCTCCCGGGAGTCTGGGTAAATGTCTTGCTTGCAACGGCCACGTGGAGGGTTTTCCAGGGTTGAGGGGCTCCGGGGTTCATGCCTCTGCCCCTGCACCCCAAATGCCAAACCCGAAACCCCAACGGGGACGTTCAGGCTTCAGGGTTCACGATGTTTTTTCGGGGTTTAGGGTGACGAGGTTGGGGATTTCGGGCTGCTCAGGCTGACTGCGAACTTAGGGTTTGGGGATTGGGACTGAGGGCGAACCCTTGGCCCAAGTGCAAGGCAGAGCGCAAAGAAGCACGCCTTATCCTCTTCACACACCTGCGGGCTTCGGTCTTGGGGAGGCTTCTAGCATTGCGGGCGTAGGGCTGGGAGGGTACAGTTCAGGATGGGAAAGGTGCCGTTGTAAATTTCTCGCGGCAGCGATCTCACATGAAGCCTTCATGCAGAACAACCCTCCTTCGTGATACTGCAACGGAGCCAACCATCTTCTTCTAGAAGAGCTATGAGTTACCAACCTTCCCGCCACAACGTCTCCGGTTCCCGGGACGAGAATGCAGCAACTTACAGGATTAACAAAAGGAACCCCTATAACCACCCTAAACCCTATACCCTAAACCCAGGTAAGGTCCTAGGGTCGGCATTACTACTAGCTGCAGCATGGTTCAGGAATTTGGCTTTGCAGCATTCCAGATTTTGGCAAAGATTTTCACAGAAAATCACACTCTGAGGCAACCTGGTTCGCAAAGTTCCACCTTACAGCAAAGCGTTTCAGAAAGAAAACCTCACCCCCTGCAATCTCTGTAGCAGTACCACTGTTCTTCACATGCAGATCCACGCGCAATCAAACCCTGAAGACAAGCTTTAGACTATACCCTTACAGAATCCTTATCATGCCCCATAAAACCCAAAGAGCCCAAAATCCTGAACCACGAAATACAAGAAAGCACCGGGCTTCCATAACCCCGCAGGCGCGGACCTGCCCCGGGGCAGGGCCGACGTTCAACTGCTGCCGACCACCTCGAGCGGTGTTACAGGAGGGCTCTACAGATGGTCTGGGGATCAGAGTGGGTGTGATAGGGCTAAGACAGGCTTTATCGGGTTACTGTATAGGCTTTAGGGTTAAGGGCTTTCAGGGTCTAGTCTAGGGCTGGAGATTTAGGGATTCACGCACAGCTTTGGTAAGGGTTCAAGTTTAAGGGGTTCAGGATTCTCCCGAAAACACGCTGGGGTCGGGATCTCGTTTAGTGCTTCAACGCACGTTCTTCGATATCGGACCCTGTCTTGACAGGATCTGGGCTTAGATTTTAGGGTCTACAAGACTATACGGTGGACGGACTTGGACGCCGGCTGCAGCATGGCGGGAGGGGATGCGTCGTGAAGGATCCCTACCATACATGAAGGCTTCTCTCACCCTAAACCCGGAACCCTACACCCTAAACCCCTAAACCCTATAAATCCTAAACCCTGAACCCTGAACCCTATAAACCCTAAACCCTAAACCCTGAACCCTAAACCCTAACCCCGGAACCCTAAGCTAATTCGGGTAGCTTCGAGACCTTTGGGTTCGAACCCTGGGCCGCCCCCGCCGATGAGAAAAACCAGAAATCCGAAGCCCACGCAGAAAAAATAAATGGGGTTTAGGGTTTAGGGTTTAGGGGTTAGGGTTTAGGGTTTAGGGTTTAGGGTTTGCTGCAAGATTGCGTAGCGGTAGTAAAACAGGGATTGCATAGGATTTGTTAGCGGTTTTGTTGCCTGCGAATCGCAGCCATGGCCGGGGGGCCAGGGGGGGCCGGGGCCAGGGGGCGCCAGGGGGGCCAGGGGGGGCCAGGGGGGCCAGGGGGGGGCCAGGGGGGGCCAGGAGAACCAGAAGGCTTAGTGGTGGTCCGAGGGCGAGCGTCCGAGGGGCTTAAGCGCCGCCCACCATCGAAGGTGGGCGGCCTAGGCCCGAATTCCACCAAGAAAGAAATTGCGACCCTTGCACACCCCGGAACCCCCTACAGTAGAAAGCCAGAAAGTTGGAATATCATTATCGTAACCCCTTAAATGTAGGGTATCCTACCCTGAAACCATATTCCAACTTTCTGGAGTTCCTTTTACATCCCCAAGCTGGGCAGCCGAGCGCTTCTCCGCGAAAAGCGATCGTGGCACCTTGCAAGGCTTTTTGGGGGCTCGGGGTTTAGGGTTTTGGGTTATTTAGGGTTCAGGTTCAGGGTTTAGTGTTTAGGGTTCAGGAGTGGCTTAGATGCAAGCTTTAGTGCTTCGGGGCTCATGGTTGCACCACGGTTTTTCTGACTGCCCTATGAGGGATTCACACGGGATTTACGAGTCTTCTCGGCTAAAGGGTTTGAGGCTTTAGGGCGCGGTTAAGGCTTGGGGCACGGCTTACCTTGGAGTTCGGAGTTTGGAGTCGGCGCCTTCTCCAGGGATCCCGGCTTACTATTCCTAAACCTCCAAAATAAGAGCCCTTGTTTCATACTGCAAGGTCTTGGATTCAAGGGCACTCGAGTAGACATCCAGCAGCGCGGGAAACCCGTCCGACCCTAGCTACATAGGGTCTAAAGCCATTAGGGTGTGGGATCTTTCGGGCCTTAAGAGATCTCTGAAAGCCCTAAACCCTAAACCCTAAACCCTAAACCCTAAACCCAAAGCCCAAAACCAAAGCCCTGGAAGCCCGAGCGCCGCGCCTGAGCTGGCTGCACGATCTCGTAAGGACCACCATGGCCCTGACAGGCTTTGCGTGTCCAAGGCTGTCCGGGTTCGGAGTCTGCCCTTTTTGCTTCTCGATTTCAGGTCCTGGGGTTTGGGAGGGTTTAGGGTTTAAGGATTTCGTTTTTTAGGGCTTGGGGCTTCAAGGATTTGGATGTTGGCCCTCTGGCTTTAGGCTCAACCCTAAACCCTAAACCCTATAGGGAGAATGCAGGTTTACCTGCTGAGCTCTCAGGCTTCAGGGTCTCTTTGGGAGCGGTTGCTTGCTGCGGTACAAGGTTCCTGTTTCAAGGTTTAGGGGTTTAGGGTTTAGGGTTTAGGGTTTTGTCATAAGCATGAAGCCATAAAGCTAGCTCCCGCGCCCTGAACCCTGAGGCCCCTCAAGACCGCAAATCAGTAAACCCTAAACGCCACACCTCCAAGCCCTAAACCTGAATCACAAAGCCGGATACGTGACCCGAACTTCAATCTCCACGAAGGCCCCAAAACCCTGGCAAGCCGAACCCACCTCATGGAAGCCCTCAACCATAAACCCTAAAACCCCAAACCGACCCTGAAAAGGAACCCTCAAAGCAACCCCCTTCGGGAGCCTTGATCAGTGGCACTTGGGTGGGATCCATGCCGGTGGGCTTGAAAGGCTCTGCCTCTGAAGTTGAGTCTCGAGATTTAGGGTTTGGGGTTTACGGCTTGGGGGGATTGATGCGCTTAAATGCCCAGCCTTCAACCCCGAACCTTTGAACTTGCTCAGAACACATTTTGTGGTATATTCTTATAGACTTCAAACAAGGAACCCGAAAATTCAACTCTAAACCCTGAACCGAAAACCCTCAACCCCAAAAATTGATTCTGAACGCAAACTCCTGGTCTGAACCCGAAGCCTAAACGTTAAACTCCAAACTCGAAACCCCTTGCCTGCTCATGGGCTTGAAGATTCATTGGCCAAGGGTATCAGGCAGAAGGTTTCTAGGTTTAGGGTTTGGGGCTTAGGGCTTAGGGTTCGTCTTTTTCGAGCTTCGGGCTGAACCCGAAGCATTTCGGAGTCTGGGGTGTCGGGGCGTTAGGATTCAGAGATTGCAGCTGTGGGTCTGCAGCCCAAATCCCATGAAGGGTGTGGTATGCAAAACTGACCCGACAGTCGTCCAGGCCTGTGGAGTCCTCCTGAAATCGCGATGCTCAACCCCTTCAGGAAGGAATCTCCCTCACAACAAGGCAAAATATATATTGTTTCTTCTTATGCTTCAAAAGGGTTGTCCTTCAACTATAAAGGGTTTCTTGGTGTGCTGCAGGGGGAATACTCCTCGAACTATGTAGGGCTCCTTTTGCGGATTCGGTGAGAATCAACATTGAAAGGATGTTGGGCTCTCCGGTGTCTAGGGTAGTGTAGGAACCTGATTATGAAACCTTCGGCCTTTATTAGGGTTCCTTATATGAATCCTACTATTTTGGGGTTATGGGCCCAGGGTTTCTTAATCAGGTTCCTAAGAAACAGGAGTCACGGATCGGGATTTTGGCTGCAGTGCCTCGTGCGCGATTCCCAAAAAGCCGACCACATTGAAGACCTGCGTATAGGGCAGCAATGAACTTACCGGAAACCTTGAGACTGTTGGGGGAAACCGGTTAGGGTTTAGGGTTTAGGGAAACTCTGAAACCTCAACCGAACGCCCGAAGCAATGGAGCCCCAAAAAACCGTTGAGCCCCAAGTCCTGAAACTCTGAAACCGAAGCAGACGGCCCAAGAGCCCCCCCAAATCCGACTCAAGGATCTCAAGGCACTACATAAACCCAACGGAATGGAACCCCAGAATCAAACCCTCCCAAAATCCAAATACCTATAGACCGAACGGAACCTGAGTCCGTCAACCTGCAGCCCTAAGAATCATGAAGCTGGAATCCTAAAACCGTATGGACACCAACGTATATACCGTGAACCCTATCAACAGCCATCCTATCTTAGCACTACAAGATGAAACAAGAAGCCAACCTGCACAACGCTACAAACCCTTACCCCCAAATGCCCCAAACATTCACAACTAAGGGCCATAAGGACTCTGTTAACGGGCCCTTGGGGGGTCCTGATACAAAACCCCAAACCCTAAACCCCAAACCCTAAACCCTAAACCCTGAACCCTAAACCCTAAACCCACATCCTAAACCCCAAACCCTAAACCCTACACCCCAAACCCTAAACCCTACACCCCAAACCCTGAACCCCAAACCCTTACAGAACCCTTCGAGCTTCTTGGCTTCAGCCTGGCCAGGACCGAAGAGAACCGGCGGCCCATCGGCTACTCGGACCTGCTTCAGAAAAGGTGCCTTAATACCCAGAGCCTCCAAAACCCCTTAATTAAGGAATATACCTTAAATTATAATAGGATCCCTTATATGATTTAAGGTATATTCCTTAATTAAGGGGTTTTGGAGGCTCTGGGCTTAATACTTAGAAGAGGGCTCCTTTTTGAAAAAGGCTCCATTGGGGGTCTGTAAAGACTCTATAGTAGGGTTCTATATTAGGGTTCCTTAAGAATCAGAATAGGGTTCCTGTTTAAACGGGTCTAGTAGCGGTCTATAAAGAATCTACAGTAGGTTTCTATATTAGCGGCCTGAATAATTGTAACAGGGTTTTGGGGCCCATTATACTCTAATTATAATCAGGAACCTATTGGCAATTCAGTGAGGCCCCTATATGTTGTGTGTTTTTCTTCTGTCGTAGGTTCAGGCTTTACTGTCCATGTTTCCGGGTTCAGGGTTTAAGGTTTAGTGGTCGGGTTCGGGTTTCGAGATTGTTCGTTGGGGCGTTGGGGCGTCATGCACTTAATGCTTACAGTGCCTTGGACTCACTTTCAGCTCTTTGAAAGGCCGCTGGGCTTCTTTTGGGCCTCTTGGTGCATGTAGTTTCCTCATGGTTTCAGGGCACCGGCAACTGATTGGCCCCAATTTACGGTTTAGGGTTTAGGGATGTTCGGGTCGCATGCGCAGGCTTAGGCTTCGAAGGTTTAGGCACGAAGGAGTTTCTCCTTGGGGGCTCTTGCGGCTTCGGGTCCAGGATAGTGTACTGGTCTGGATAAATACACAAAAAGTGTTCCAAAGGGCTCCCGAATGCGTTATAGCACAGAAACCCCGAAAAACATACTCCAATTGTTCAAGCTTCTAGATGATCAGCACCTCCACTGTTCCTCGCTCCACAGCATAGGCTGGTCCACCATTGGTGGTCGAAAGAACCTGTGGTGTGGGATTGTTTGGGGTTGGGGTTTAGGCATTAAGCCTTACCTTGAACTATTGTTTTGCGTAGGGTCCCTAGAAATTCTATATTCGGATTTACGACAGGAACCTGCAAAAAAGTAGGTTGCGGTAGTTTGGACTGAGGGTTCAGGGTTTGCAAGCTCGGAACAGTATGGAAGCCCATACCAGGGCACAGCAAACGGGGCGTTAGCACCTTGACCCTGGATTCCCGGATTGATACTGTAGCATAATTGCACAGGGACTAGGAGGGGAAAGAGCCTCTAAACCCCAACCCTAAACCCAACCTTTGTAGCGAGGGTTCCAGTCTGTCAGGGTTTTGGGCATGCATGTTTGGCATCTCCCTGCTTTACACGTTTAGTATTGAAAGTCTTTTCGGGTTTAGGGCTTCGGGGTTAGATTGATGCTGTTGCTTTCAACCCGTCGAAAATCCCAATCCAAAGCCCCTTCCCGGCCCGAAGACGGAAGCAAGCAATATAGTCTCAACGTAAAGGTCTACATCATCAGACCCGGGTATGGGAGGGATATTGTCTAAATATCGTTGTTTTTAAGGAACCCTGAGGAATAGAACTACTAATCCCAAAAGCCCAACCCGAAACTATTCAGGCCCTGAACACATGCTCATACTCCATGATTCCTGGCCATGGACATCAATCATACCTCGAAACGAACGTTTCAGGTTTTGTTAGGGCTTGTCTTACCACACTCTGCGAGCTACTTGCATTCCCTCACCATCATCCTCATGACCACCCCCCCCCCCCATCCTCAGCATGGGAACCCCAACCATGACTCCACAAGCTCGAAAAGGGAGTTTCCGAAAATAGGGGACCCTACTATAGCACCCCAAATAGTATAGATCCTTATTATAAGGACCCCAAAACAGGGTACCCCTGATTTTCGGAAGCTCCCGTCAAATTCGCACCTCGCCAGGCGCGAGATGGATGCGCGTTGCCTGCATCAGGCTGCCAGTCTCCACCCAAACGCAGCGATGCATGTAAAGTCAGGTTTTTTATATTACAGGAAACACCCCTATCGCTGACAGAAAGCCCAACGTAAACTCATACTTGATGTGATTTTCGGGCTACAACCTTGGACCTCCCGACTGTGGCAGGTGTGGAAGTTCAGTATCAACAATAATTCGCGGAGTTCCCTATCTTAGCTGCGCATTAAGATACCCCAAAACCCTATTCTAGGCTAACTTCTGCAGACGCTTTATTTCGCTTTGGGTTTTGAAGGTTTTTTGGACGTCGCGGCGTGTCAAGCTGCAGAGGGACTCCAAGCCCCCAGAAAGAATATGCTGATACAGATCCCTACTTTAAATTCAGTGTGTAGTCTTTGATTAACGGGCTTTGAAGTATGTGGGTCTCCTGAATAGAAATTCAGGCGGTGCTTTGAATGTATATAATTCATATCGGCTGGCCAAAGACAGCGGCAACTGAAGCCAGGCTTGGGGCGTCAGGATTCTGTGGTTTAGGATTCGGGTTTAGACTTTATTTCTTCGGGGGTTTAGGATTGGAGGCGCTAGGGTATGTGGCTTGCGAGGAATGAAAAAAAACCTGCGCACAAGCACTGAAAATTACAGTGACAGCATGTCGCAAACAGTGCAATAGGCTGTCTCCTGGGCTCCAGTCTGAGAGACTCGGCTGGGTGACTGACCGCTGCAGGGGCTTCAAAAACGAGGAAAGGGTTCTCACTTCTGAGTTATGCTCAAGCAAACATATCTATGTATGTGTATATATATATATACACATTTATATCTGTATATATATATATATATATGGGCTCTTGAGGGTATACTAATGCTGATTATTTAAACCCCTACATGTTCACAACCCTCCTCTCAAAACTCAAGACTGACACCGCCGTTCTGAATTCTTATCGCCAGACTGCCATACTTGGAAGGGCAGGGGACTTAGTAAGTAGGGCTCCTTAAGGGATCTATAGGGTTCCTTAAAAGGGATCTATGGGGTTTAGGGTTTGGGGTTTAGGGACTTAGTAAGTAGGTTATAAGTAGGGCTAGACTTGGGGTAACTTCATTTAGGGTACTTATAACTCTACTTATAACCTACTTACTAAGTCCCCTGCCCTTCCAAGTACTGCTAAACACACTCAAACCTTTGGTGAAAAACACTGTTTTACAATACACAAAGCCGAGAAAAAACAAAAACGTCGAATCCCGACACATGTTTACCACCCCACAACCATATGACAAACATCCGAAACCGCAAGACCCTGCAAAATCATAAACAACCCTTTCAAACAACTGTAAAGAAACATGCAACCGTACGCCACCCTTCTTAGTTGCTGAGTTCATAAGCCCCCAAAAGTGTACACTTCTAGTTGTATAGTGGGTCATATTATCCCAAACATGTAAAGTGTATCCACTCAGCTACTAAGCCTTTAAACCCTGCAAAACCCTTTGAAATTTCATAGAACCCCTAAACCGAGGAGCCAAGTTTACTTACCTTTGGTTAGTAGGGAATGGAGGAATGGGGTACAATTACAACTACTATTACTACCATTCTTCCATTCTCTACTAACCAAAGGTAAGATATAGGATTATTGAGGCCCCTGTATTATAGTACCCTTATAGTTATAGATCCCTTATAGTAACCAAAGGTAAGAAAAGGGACCCTAATTTTGATAAAAACACCCAAGCTTAGGCCCAAACCCTGCCAGGCCTGTGCTGCGATGCTGTACGGCAACATTTGGTCGCAGGGCCTCGCAATGGCGGTTTTAGGGTTTAGGGTTTAGGGGTTTAGAGTTTTAGGGTTTAGGGTTTAGGGTTGAGGGTTCAGGGTCTGCGGTTCCGGGTCTAGGGTTCAGGATCTTGCGTTTAGAGTTTAGGGCTTGGGGTTATAAAGTTTAAGGTCTACCTGCAACCCGAAACGCCCTTTTTTTTGAAGGCCTTGTATTGGGGGTTCACAACGGCTTCGTGGCTTGTAGCTTGTGTTTAGGGTCTGGGATTCAGCGGTTTAGGGCCTAAAGGTTTAGGGGTTTGGGGTTTTGGGTCCGGGTTTTGCGTCTTAGGGTTTAGCGCCCGAGGTTGACAGGCATTGCTGTGTTCAGGCACAGGCCTTGCACATTCAAACCGAAAAGGTTTAGGACGGGGTAGAGCGTGCGGGTTTAAGGCTTCAGGCAGGGTGAGCAGGCGGGCGCAAGTGCTTCGCCCGTCTTGATTCGCCAGGGTGCTTGGAAGTCAGGGCATTAGTTAAAGTTCTTGACTGCTACTGCCAATACTGCTTCTTCTTGCGCTATTACTGCTGCAGCTGCTGCTGCTTCTACTAGGCCGCCACTCCTCCTCCTCCTCCTCTTCCTCTGCATATCCCTTCCTGCTCCGCTTCCTTCTCCTCCTTCTCTCCCTTCTCCTGCTGCTCCTGCTGCTCCTGCTTCTGCTCCTGCTGCTGCTACGGCTGCTGCTACGGCTGCTGCAGCTGCCGCGACTGCCTGCCACTGCAGCTGCTACTCCTCCTACCACTACTACCACTACTACCGCAACCACCACCATCATCATCATCACTACTGATTCATCATAACTACTGATTCCACTATGACGGTGAAGACAACGTTATAGCTGCAGCCTGAAACCAGTCCATTTACTCAGGCTTTTCTTAACCCTTCGAAACGTTCCTCAGAGATAATAATCCAATCGGCAGCATGGTGTGCTTCCACTTCACGGCGTTCTTTACATCAGCGAAGGCTGCAGTTTAGGTTTAGGGTTTATGGTCAGGGTCTGGGATTTGAGGTTCTTGTTGGCTAGACCCCAGAGTAGCCTAGGAATAAAAAGGGTGCCCTTTTTGGTTTAAAGGGGCTTATAAGGGAACCTGAACCCTTAAAAAAGGGAATAAGGGCCTACTCTAGGTCCTAGTTGGGGTTTAAAAACTTGGGGTTATGAATGGCGAGACTAGGGTCTTGAGGGCCTGTGTTCTCGAACTATAGTTGGAGAACCCCGAGGAATAGCGTTTATATGGGAGTTTCCGAAAATTAGGGGTACCTTATTCCGGGGGTCCTTATTATAAGGATCCTACTATTTGGGGTACTATATTAGGGTCCCCTATTTTCGGAAACCCTCATATTGGTACTGCATCTCAAAGCTTGACCCCGGGCACAATCATCAACCCTGGTTCCGACGAAAGTATGTAAGAATATCCCTCTATACTCCTTGCATAAGCGTATTCTGATACACCCCAGAACCCTTAACACCTGCAAATCGTCCCTGAACACCCCCCAAAAACTCCAGCAGAACCCACCCAAAAGCCCAGCAGAGCAGCTCCAAACCCTAAACCCTGAACCCTAACCCCCAAAACCTGAACCCCTAAACCCTAAACCCCTAAACCCTAAAACCCTAAACCCCTAAACCCTCAACCCCGAAACCCTAAACCCTAAACCCCTAAAGCAGCCTAAAGATGGGATGGTCCGCCAGGGCATCGCTGACCGTGAGGTCGTCCTCTTCCGAGCCTCAGGCAATTGATCTTGCACCGGGGTACCCTATAGCCCTAGGGTTTATGGCTAGGGTCTAGGATTCTGGGTTTTTTGTTAGAGATTTAGAATTTCGGGTTGAGGGTTGGAGGTTCGGGGTTTAGGACTTCTTGCTAGCATCATTACCGGCAAGAGCCAGATTCCTATGCTACCTTCCACTCCCCAATGCTGCCCTCCCTCCTTCTCCAAAGACCCCCAACCAAAAACCTTTGTTTTTTTTTCTAAGACCTTTGTCCGCTAAACTGCGTGTATTCTTCAGTCGTCGTAGTAGCAGCAGCAGAAGTAGTAGCAGCAGCAGAAGTAGTAGTAGTAGTAGTACTACTACTACTACTACTACTACTACTACTACTACTTCTGCTACTACTACTTCTGCTACTACTACTACTACTACTACTAGTACTAGTACTAGTACTACTAGTACTACTAGTACTACTAGTACTACTAGTACTCCTAGTACTACTAGTAGTAGTAGTAGTAGTAGTCGTCGTAGTAGTAGAAGTGAGGAGGAGCAGCAGTAGTGGTAGTAGACGCAGACGACGTTCAGAATTCAGGGACTTGATGCTCGCCTCCAGCCACCAAAGGGGAAGAGGGACCCTTAGTGGGAACCCCTACCCTATAATGGGGCCATATTATGGGTATATAATAGCTATATTAAGGGTGTATACCTACTTTTCCCCTTTGAAGCCACCGGGCCTCAACCCAAAACCCTGACACTCTGAGCTGTCGGCTGGTTTCTCGGTGCTCCCTGATCAGGGCCTGACTCATCGCACAGGGCTTGCACTGAAAGGGCAGAGGCCGGAACATGCCAATGGATTGGTCTGCGAACTTGGAACTTCAACCCTGCAGCATGCCAAGCAGAGCCTTGAAGCAAGACCTCATGCACTACCATCCAAGGATCCAAGTGGCTGCAGCCACAGGTAAACGACAGGAGCAACTGTGCCACGACGAGCAAGAAGATGGCTGCTGCGAGAACCATGATAATGGTAATGATGATGATGATGTTCATGTTGATGTCGACGCTGATGCTGATGCTGATGCTACTGATGATGGTGATGATGGTGATGATGGTGATGATGAAGATGATGATGACGAGGATTAGGATGATGAAAATGATGAGCAAGATGACTTATCGTTATTGACACAAGCAAGGGGCGGGGGGAGTCAAGCATATTGTTGTCCTGACAAAACGAACGAAGATGCACAAAGCGGAACCGTTGACTCTGGGTTCGAGGCTCACGAAGGCCTCCGCAGCACCCCGTGCCAAACGAACGAAGGCTCTCTTTGTGCTTACGATTTGCATGCCTCGTCGTGTACTCATACAAGTGAGTAGTCGTAGGCGTAGTAGTAGTAGTAGTAGTAGTAGTAGTAGTAGTAGTAGTAGTAGTAGTAGTAGTAGTAGTAGTAGTAGTAGTAGTAGTCTAGCAGTTGCACTAGCAGCAGTAATGTACGGACCTGATTAATTTGCCCTGGGCCTATAACCCCAAAATAGTAGGATTCATATAAGGAACCTAATAGAAGCCCAAGGTTTCTTAATCAGGTTCCTACATTAGCTCTCCTGGGTCTTTGAATTTGGGATTTTCGCTTAGCGGTCAAGTGAAAGCAAGGCAGCCGGTCCTCCAGTTGGGTTAGCCTTGGGCCGAGTCCAGCACCGCGCGCCTCCTTCCTGTTTAGGGGTTTAGGGATTTAAGGATTTAGGGGTTTAGGGGTTTAGGGGTTTAGGGGTTTAGGGTTTAGGGTTTAGGGGTTTAGGGGTTTCGGGGTTTAAGTGTTTCGGGTTTAGGGGTTTAGGGTTTAGGTAGGGGTTCAGGGTTCGGAGTCTAGGGGAAGATGCAGGTGATGGGGCTTAGCAAAGGGATGCCTGCCTAGCAGTATCTATCACCATTGTTGCAGCTTCTGCTGTCTGAGCTCTATACGCTGCGTCCCGTGAGCGCTGTGGTAGCAAAGGTTCACTATGAGCTGACGATAGTGTGAACCCTAAACCCTAAACCCTAAACCCTATCCCCGGCTAGGGTGAGGTGCCCATGCAAGCCCGAAAGGCCCCCAGGCCTAACCCTCAACTTGCCATGACACCCCAACCCTTAACCAGAAAGCCCCCCAAACCCCTAAAAAAGAGGCCTTAATCAATAGAAAAGGGTTTTGGGACCCCTGATACTTTAACAATAATAAGGACCCCCCCCCCAAAAAAAAAATATGTGTAGATGGGTATATATATATATATATATGTGTGTGTGTGTGTATGTATATATATATATAGTATTGGCAATTAATAAGGCCCCTAAACCGTTCGCCCCAAACCCGTAAACTTTAAAATCGCTGAATCCTTTCAATCCCGAACCTTAAACCCTCCTTGAAGCATAAGTCAGAGACTCCAATATCCCTTAATTATGGAGAATTCCTTGAATCATATTAGGAGTCCTACGATAATTTAAGGTATATTGCTGCATTAAGGTATATTGCCGAAATGAGGGATATGGGAGTTTCCGAAAATAGGGTACCCTAGTATAGTACCCTACATGGTAAGATCCTTAATGTAAGGACCCCGAAATACAAATACCCCGAATTTTCGGAAACTCTAAACCCTAAACCCTTTATAGCATCCTTATATCCCTTTAAGGAACCCTTAAAGGATCCCTCTAAAGGTACCCATAGTGGAGTATTGGAGTCTCTGGGAAGCTGGAACTCCCAAATGCCCAAATCTGCCCAGAGGGAGCCTTGGTGGCGTCATGTCGCGGACGGACATGATAGACATGGCAGCCTCCCAGACCCCCGGGAGGATCTAGAAAGTAGGGTTTAGGAGTTTAGGGGGTTAGGGTTTAGGGGGCAGCCTGAGGGTCTGTGCTAGGGATTCTGAAGGTTTTTTTTGCATTTACTTATGCCGGTGCCACAGTATATGAAGTGCAAAAGTTCAAAAGGGGCTTAATGAGGGCTTTGGGGTTTGTAGTGCGATTTAGGGTTCAAGCGTTTGGGTTGTAGAGTTAGGGTGGGGCTTGAGGTCTAGGGTCGGTAAGGGAATCGGCTGGTCTGGCAAGCACCCCAAAGATGTGGGGCCGAAGCACCCCCTAGCTTCAAACCGTCTGGTTCGCCGTTCCAACTCTCAACCCTAAACCCCAAAGCCTTTGGCATACTCGCCGAGCCTCAGACAGCAGGGCCCAAGTACCATCAAAAGGACAAACCTGAACCCTCAACCCTAAACCCTAAAGCCCCAAGCCTGACCCTGAGCACCCGAACCCTAAACACGAATGCCCCAAACCCTGTCAAACCCCTGAGCTAGGGTTCACGGTTTGGGGCCGCTTGGAGCCCTAGGCGAAACTCTACACCCCAAGTTCCCAGACCCCTTAATTCAGACCCCCAGTTGTGACTTAGGGCACATTCCATAACCACAAACCCTAAACCCCTAAACCCTAAGCCCACTACCCCCCAAAAAAACCGTGTGACTTAGGGTACAGTACATTCTTCCATGATTGAGTGGGCTCTCTGGCACCCTATGCACTAAACGCGGAATTCGGAACCATGAGCCCACAACTTGCAAGCCCTGAATCCTACACCTGCAACGCTGAATTCTAAAGACTGAGTCCTAAATCCGAAACGCCCAATTCTAATGCCCCGGAATCCTAAGCCCTAAGTAACCCTGAATCTGTGACCATACGCTGGCCCTAAACCCCAAACTCCAAACCACTACGACAGTGGCCTTCATAGTTAGAATAGGGTTTTGGGGGCCCCCATTACAGTATATGTATAAAAAGGAATCCCCAAAATAGTATACGTGGTGCTTAAGGCCCCTATATCATAGTACCCTACTATAGATCCCTTATAAGCCCCTTCAAGGATCTCTTTAAAGGGAACCCTGGGCAACTATTTAGGCCCCTACATGGGAGCTTCCGAAAATAGGGGGCCCTAATATAGTACCCTAAATAGTAGGATCCTTATTGTCAGGACCCTAAAATAAGGTACCCCTAATTTTCGGAAACTCCTAAACCCTAAACCTT